CTAAGACCAAAAGTGAAGGGCTGACATTTGAAGATAGAACAAGTAAGCCTGGAACACCTAGCTTACTTATTATCTTCTTTATTTCTGACTTTTTCATATCTATGTACCTGTAGGTACAGGTACATAGATATCACCTACAAGGAAGTCAGTTTGTGCCTCCAAGGAAGAATGAAAAGATTCTAAAAACAGTAAAAACATGGGTAATTTTTAGGAACTTTGGTGTTTCGTGGGCCTTGGAAGGTTGGTGACCCTTTTTGGTCTAGGTGATTTCTTTCCTGTTCATTTAATATTTGGTCTAACATCAAGAACTACCTTTGTCTTTAAAAGTACATTGGACTTTAGAGAGCCTTGGTAGGTGTGGATCAGAGTGGCCTTAGGCTGCTTTAGACTGCTAGAAGTAAGTACACTATGGTGGGAGCTTTCACACTTTTTGAACAGACTCACATTTTTCTTTATGACCCAGCACACACATAGCATACACATATGTAACTGAAACATAAGCTTCATGAAGCAGTGTATATGTCATACCCTCTGATATTTTCTAGTCTATGTTAAAACAAAAAGTCCGGTTGCTTAGGATCCACTATGGGTCTTAATTTTGAAAAAAATACTGCACCAGTGCAAAGTAATTGAGAGAAATACTGGGAAGTCTAGTAGTCTACATTCAAATGGGAGCTCTTCCACTTACAGCTATGTGCCTTGGGTTAGTTAATTAACTTTCCTAAACCCTAAGGTGCTCAACTAGAAGACAGGGATAAACTACTTCATAGGATATTTTGGGAATGAGATCGTAAGCACTCACGATCACTTCTATTACTCTGATCCTGCATTCAAGAAAGTCCCTAAGGGTTCCAAAAGTGTTCAGCTTAGTACCCCAGAAATATTAATCATTCCATATGTTTGTATATCAAAGCTCCCCTGGCTAAAAGCCTCCATCTATTTTCCATTACCTATGCACATTGTGGACTAAAACTTGGCCCTCTGCAGGTGGCAGCTAAAGCCAGTGCAGCCTGAACCATACCTCATTTTTGGCCCCTGCCCTCACATCTTTGAATAGCCTAACCCACAAACACAATGTCCCTTGATTCTGAACAATGTCCTCTGATGTGTCTTTGTCTTGGATCATTAAGTCTTTTCTTTCTGAAATGTTTTTCCCTCCTTTATTTTTGCTTAAATATCACCTATACAGGCTTCATGATCAAGCTCAAGAATTGCCTGCTGTATATGGGCTTTCCTGGTGACTGATTATCTCCCCTTTCTCCAAAATCCTGTCCTTATATTTAATGAAAAAAATAGAGATAACTACACGTATTCTCCAACTTTGAAAAGCAGAGATCATACAACTCCAAAATAATCTTTATATAATTAAAGAACCCTTGTTCAATATGAGAATTTCTTTACACTTCTAACACAAATTGGGACTCAGTTACAGCTTTGCATTTTGGCTCAGTTTTTTGTTGTTGTTGTTGTTTTTGTTTTTTGTTTTGTTTTTTTTTTTTAGACATACTTTGAATCTCAGATACTTGTGTATTTTTTTTGTTTTATTTCGTTTTTAGTTCTAGGAAATGTAGTGCTGAGACTCAGCCATCAATCAGGGTGTGATGGGAGAAAATGAACATAAATTTGATTATTTTGCAAATAAACAAAAAATTAAATATATGAATTGCAGCTGTTGTGGGGCTGTTTGTCATGTGGCATGTCTGGTGGACCAGATGCATTGTTAGCCAGAAGAGGTATGACAATTTGTTAGGACTCATATGGAACAGATGGATCATCTCAATTTTCTGGCAGTTGCTCTGCCATCCCATGCCCTGTGTAGCAATGGTGAAACTACCTTGAATGAGATGGATGTCATCCCTTCTCTCTGATTTAGATCATGAATTTTCTTGTTCAAAGCCAGAGAGAAAGGTGAAAGGGTGAAAGTGTGGCCAAGAAGCTTGGCATGGGGATTGGAACACCTCTGTCCTAATTTATCCATCTGAAAAATAGAGGGGAAAGTTTTCTGTTGTGTGTTCCTGATCAACCTTGGGGTACGTGGTCACTCTTACTTTGGAAATTCTACTCTGTTTCCATCCCTATAATCAGAAGGAAAGCGCTAGAGTTCTAGTGGTCATCCTATCTAGGCTGAAATTCAAATATTCCTGAGACTGCTTACCCACCCCAAAATGTTCCCTGCATATCTGAGCATCCTAGACAAAAGGAAGGAAAACAGATTGAAATGCAAAGCTAAACTTGAGATCTAGGTCACTGGTTAGCCTACTTTAAGCACCACATCCATTACAACCCTTTCTGTATTTTATTTTTCAGTCACTCTCATTCCCAACACCCTGGCAATTAAAAAACTTCGGCAAGTTCACTTACTAAATTTTTACTAACCCTTTCCTGATATCCCAACCACCCATGACTGTAGTTTTAAGCCCTTATTGTATAGCCTGAAATTGTTTAACTGCTGTTGCTTCTACTCAAGTCCCCCTTAAATCAATGTGCCACACGGTACCAGAGTGATTGCTCTAAAATGCAAATATATCCCTCTCACTCTTAACATCCATCAAGAACTCCATGACATTGTGGAAAACAAATTCTAAGCTCCCTAGCATGGCATACGAGATCTTTTATGTCTTAGCCTCGCAACCTCTGCAGGCTCATATTTTAACTTCACCTATCCTAGATGCTTATGATTTCCCAGAATTTTTTAGTTTTTGTGTCTATGCTCTGTGATTTCCTCTGGGCAATATCTTCTGCCAGCACTCAGATCAGCTGTGCCTTCTCACAAGAAGCACTCTTTGACTTTTCCCCTTCTCCACCTACTCTCAGCCAATGGCTTCTCCTTTGTATTCATCTAGGACACTTTGCTTAACTCTATCACAATAGATATTTATCTCTTCAACCAGCTCCTTCATGGTAGAGTATGTGTATAGGGGGAACACATATTTTAAAAATTTAACTAAATTTTTTAATTGATTTTTTTATTGAGGAAACATTGATTCATACTAAATTTATTTTTAATCTTTTAGTACTTCTAATAGTGCCAAGCTTTTCCACCATCAGGGTCTTTGCATAATTAGTTATGTCTGAGATAATTTTCTCCTCATACTCTCCTTATTTTCTACATAGGACAAGTTATAATTTCAAATTATTTATGAAGGTAATACAGCTAGTATTTAACAGCCTAGGTACTGATGTCAGAGTGCCTAATTTCAAAATGCAGAATGGGTGACCTTAAGCAATTTTCTCACTTTGTGTATCTATATGCACATGACTCAGTTTCTTATTTGTAAAGTCGGTAATAATCCCGGTTATGAGGATTAAGTTGAATGAGATAATATGTGCTAAACAGACTTGTGCCTGGCATGTAGCTAATATTTATTGCTTTCTACTTTAAAAAAATGTTGTTTAAATTATTCAATGTCATTTCACTGTAAGCTCCAAGATATTTTCTTTACTGATATTTTCTTTACTATTGTATCCCAGTGCCTAGCATGGCATACTAGAAAGCGCAAAATAAATTTGTGTAATTTGAATGACTGAATAAATAACAATCCTTACTTTAGAATATTAACTGAAGATAAGGAAGGAACTGTGGTGCTTATCAGAGTGATAGCAGAAGCCATATCAGTGGCTTTCTTTAATCAACAATTAACTTCCTAACCCTTATATTCACTTGGCTCCATAACCAAGCAACTCTTTTTTCCTTTTGTTTAAATGGAAACATTTGGGTGAAAGTTAGATGCAGTCATTCTTGGGTTTTTATTAGAGGAAATTGTGCTCTTATTTACTTCATTCGGAACTGAGTATCATGTCTAAGATTAAGAAGTTGTTGGAATAAACATGCTCAGGTTAAGGTGACCTTGCTCTACAGAGAACAGAGAGAGTCTTAGGGTGATGCACAAAATGACAAGCATTATCAAAATAACAAGGCAATGTAGGCAGATTTTAAGCAGGTTAAACTCCAACAGTGATCCTTATGATCACTGCTTATAATTTCCCAGAATTTTTAAAATTTATTCTTAGTGAAAACCTTAGCTTCTGCCTATAAAAACCATCTTATGAAATTAGTGGTATAGACAAGAAGAGGAAAAGACAACTTTTCACT